TTATAAAATAAAAACCAACGATCTCTATTGACAGTGAGGTAATGCGATAACCCTCCTAAGTTATTTCAGTTTACTACATCAGCCGTTAACTATCCACTGCTAAACATAGACCTCCCCAGCGGGGATTATTTTATTATTGTTTCCCATGGTTTTTGGGGGATTCTCCTCCTATATTTTCTATGTGTAAATATTTAATTTATATTATTCACTATATAAAGAAATTATTTCACATAATAGTATAATAAAATTACAAATAAAATTATATAAAAAAAAGATATATTTCATATACCTACCGCTAACTTTATATAAATAAAAAACTGACACGAACATGAAGCAACGTTCACTTTTTGGGCGAGCAAAGTCGCAGCTACAATCTAGTGTGTAATAATTCACAGGACCCTCATCACAAATTCGGCTCAAAATTGCCAGTTATTTTATCATAAGAAGGGACTGATAAGTGACAAGTGAGAGCTGTAAGGAGCAATCTCAACAGCTCGCTGAAATCGGACCACTTACCTCCTTTCCCGTCTAAATGGCAATGAAAAGTTTTCCTGTTACACGGAGTCTTAAAAACAAATGCCCATTTAATATTAGTGAACTTAAGTTTTATTTTTCTTTACCTATTAAGATCTCTAATGTTAGTTACCATTTATTGTAATAATTTATTGATGTTTTATAATATATTTAAACGGATGATGATTTGTGGGGACCAGTTTTTATTATTTCTTTATTTAAAAAACACACAGCTAATAATCGAAAATGTACATAATTAATTATAAACATGTAAGATATAAAACAAAATTTATATTTTAAAACGTGTTAAAATAACATGAATGAGATGCAGTTTAATTAAAGTTAACAGTGACAATTATTAAAAATTACTGAAACAATTGAACGTGAAATCTTATATTATTATATTTTAAACATATATGTATAATAAGTTAAAAGAATGATATGGATTTATACAAAGTTACAAGTATATATTTTATTATAAAATATATATTATATATTTTTTAATATTATTATTATATATTTATATATTATTATTAATTTTATATTATATATATTATATAATTTTTAAATATTATAAAATATTTTATATATATAATATTTATATAATTTTATAATGTTTTTTTTTATATATGGATGATCTGGAGTCGAAAATATCAGTGATCTGCTCTGATATTTACTGCTTATGATTGATTGCAAAATTTTATTTTGGATAATATTTATAAATAAAACTCAAGGTTTACTAGAAGAGATTGTTATATAGTATTAAGTTCGTCTTTTAAACCAGATATTTTTTTTTTGTAATGTGATGTAAAGAATAAATAAATAAATGAAAATTATAGTTATTGTACCTGTACAAATATAAAATAAACTTGTACATATGTAAATTGAAAAGATTTACTAATGAGTTCCCTACGAGTTTTCTTAGCATATAACAACATTTAGAACCTAGCAGCAAATTTATTCTGAGTCACATAAAAAAGTATTCATAAAAGTGACGACTTAAATGAGCTTGTAAATAAAAATAAGATCAGTATAATTTACATATATTAGCAAGCAATTTTGGTTAAACCCTCTTATATAAAAATATATAAAAAATTAATCACACTAAAAATATATAAAATATATATAAGCCCACCAAAATGTAACCATCGGGAGCAAATTTATTTTTACATCATCGACTTGGTGTTTAAACTGTCCCATATCCTTAGTCATTCTCTAACGTCATTGTAATGTGATATTATCTTCGTATTTTTCTAGTTATAAACATAGATAATATTATAATAAATATGTATAATATTGTAAGTCAATGGAAAAATTGTTTTCGCAGTAAATGTACTCGCAACAAATTATCAGAAATGTTATCTCTAGACGTGACGTGACAAATGATAGTACTAATCATTTATTACTTTTTTATATGTTGTGCGATAAGATTAATAGTATTAAGAGGTTAAGACAATATTTCCAACAAACATTTAAAAATGCTTACTAAACTTGTATTTCTGCCGTGACCCTTCATGCTTTCCTTGAATGGCCGTTACAGTTTAAAATTTAACTATGGCGGTGTATTTACAGTATACGGAGGGCTTATATTATATAGAAGTGTCTCCATACAAATGCTTCGAGGAAAGCGCGTCAACTTTTTCATACAATTTTGCGTGATAAATAGTTATGAGTGATTTCTTAATAACTTCTATATTTATTTTGTCTTATAAATTCTGCAACTGTTTAATCGCAAAAACTCATTTTTTTACTAAATAAAATTTACTAAATATAAATACATCAGATACATTGAGTGCGTAAGTACATAGAACATTAATAAAAAAAACGAGTTAGTTAATTGTCAAAAAGGTGATCCATTTTTAAAGTCCGATGCTCTATCTATCTAATCTAAGACGGAGAGATAATATCTTACTCACTTACTTAGGAGAGATAATAGCGATAACAACAAGGTTCGGATTGAACATATCATGAAAAAAATCTGTTAAAGTAAAACCTAATTAAATGGCTTACAAATATGACACATAATATATACGAGTAAGACAAGTATGTGAATGTTCAATTGGTCCTATATGGAAAATTTAATATATTCCCAATATCCAATATGCTATACGAATATTTACATCTGAATAAATCAAGAAGTTAACAGTGAAACTTATTTGCAATATAGTTCTTAGCCCCTCCCTGTCGGTAAAAAACTACATTCCGAATCTGGCACGCAATCTTAAAAACAACATTGCCAAAAGTCCATATATAAAAATAATTTTTATTTGATTCTGTAACGATTTAGTAAACATGATTTTGTGGAAAAAAATATTGTTTTAAAATTAATTTTTTAGACTTAACTATTTCTAGGTCTAAAATATTATAATAAATATTTTATTATTACTGTATCAATATTATAAACGTGGAAGTTTGTAAAGATATTTGGATGTTTGTATGTTTGTTGCTCCATAATGTTTGAACGGTTGAAAGGATTTGAATGAAAGGTAAATAATTTACTTATCTTTTTGTTACTTTTCGCAACTGTGCTATCGTGTATCAGTATATAATGTATCCTATCTATTAATTGAGGATATACATGTAGCAAATTTCACTCAAATACATTCAACCGCTTAGGCGTGATTAGGTAACAGTACAGTTTTATTTTCCGTGGGTATCATAAAAGGCGACTAAGGAAACTTAATAGTTGTGGAATGGGCAGCAACGTCCCTTTTAAAACATGATTAAAGCCTAACTGTGATTGCCAACTCGCCTGCCAAGCGTAGCAAGTACTGGTAAAACCTCCCAATACGAGAAGACCTATGTTCAGCAGCAGACAGTTAACAGTTGATATGATGACGTTAATGATGAGCAACAGTAACAAACATACAAATACCTTCACAAACTTTCACATTAATAATATTAGTAGGATTTAAAACGGCTATCTCGCCGTGTCGTCCCGGTATAGAGTAGACTACCCCTTCTTTTCCGTTGGTGACTAAGGGAGAGCAAGGGACGGGCAGCAGCGTCCCTCTTAAAACATCTCTAAAAGCCTAACTGCGGTTGCCAATTCGCCTACCGAGCGTGACAACTACTGGCAAAACTCCCCTTATAGGCTTACGTTTAACAGTGGACAGTAACCGACAATATATTTAAAAAAAAAACAGCATTCTAAAATTAGCGTTTACCTAACACGAGAATGTTATCAATACCTACATTTCGGACCCACATTGAACCCAATATCCTGTCGACTGCCATATGTAAAAGCAAACTAAATGGGCGCCATTGGTACTGCGGACGGAAAGGAATAAGAATTTCTACGACTTATTTTGTGGATGTTGGGAAATTTATTTCTTCAGAGATTCTCATTCAAAAGATACTGCAATGATAAACATTTGTACGTGATTTTTTTTATTTGTAAACATAACGTTTTTGTAAATAAACTGTTTACCTTTTTTGACTAGACTATATCTGTACATAGGAGTAATTTAACAAAAATTAAATATGCATGGTCTTAAAATAAATAAATTATAATACAATATTTTTTAGAGTTTTTGTGTATCTGTTTGTCCGTATGTTTGTATCCGGCATCACACAAAAACTACCGTATAAACTGACTGACCGGTTTCCACAGTTGTGTCCCTGAAAGGACTTTAACTTAAAAAATGATGTATGATTTATCTTGATATGCCATCTAGAAGTGGTATTTTATTAAAAAGTACTACCTCTGACGGTACTTTGATAGTATATCAAGATATAACTATATAGCAATAATAACTACTTTTGAAATATACAAATATAAAGTAACAGGCAAAATACTAGTTATTTTACATAGATGTATTTATTTATGTTTTAATAATAAACTAATCATAGTATTTCCCATGGGTATCGCAAAAGGGACTAAGGGAACTTAAGAGTGGAAGGAGGGGGAGCAGCGTCCCTTTTAAAGCCTAACTGCGGTTGCCAACCCATCTGCCAAGTATAGTACCTACTGACAAAACCTTCCTTATGGAAGCTGCTTATATTTAGCAATGGACAGTTAATGGCTGATATTATGAACGAATAATAAAAATTAACATAAATATATTTTTAATCAGAATCATGAAGTAGTTTCAGGACAACTACAATACCCTACGAGCTTAACTCACGAGCATTTTCGACAATATTTTTTTATTATTGTCATAAATTTTCATGAGTTGCTATATTGTACAAAAAAAAAAACAGTTAAATTAAAATGCTTCAGTTGTTTTTATTTAAAGACTAAAATGTTAAACCGAATAAAATATTTTTTTTAAAAAGCATATGCTTTCTGATAAAAAAAAATAGTTTTTCAAATCGGTTTATAAGTGGCAGATTTTTTTTATGTATAAACATAAAAAAAATCAACCGAAATTCCTCCTTTTTTATAGTTAGTAAAAAAAATACGCGTAATTCAATACGCTTATTCTTACAGTTATTGTGTGCATTAACGAAACTTTTAATAATGATATATTTTTTTTTATTTGCAGGTAAACGGTTCGTGGGGGCTGCCAGCCTTTGTCTGCGATGTGTATATTGCGATGGATGTTACATCCTCCACTTCGAGTATATTCAACTTAGTCGCTATCTCTGTTGATAGGTAAGATTTTTTATAGATATATAATATATATAAATAGATATATTATAGATATATACAATATTTATATATATTATTTATTACACTTGTAAAACAAAAGATACAGCGATTAGTTTAACAAATCAGGTAAGCAAGGGTGGGCTTATCGCTGAATTTATTCCAGCCAACCCAGTGCAGTGAGAGAGAAAATTATTACAATATTTATTTATTTTATTGCCCACAAAAAAGTGATCTGTACATACGTACGTATACGTATAAATATGAACGTGTATGAATGTAAAGGAATAGGATAAACAGAAAAAATGGATGGACTGTGTGAAAGATGTTTATGCATAAAAAGAGTAGGTAGAATAGAAGACATGCTTTGTCGATTTTAATTATATGAGATAACGGTAAGCCCATTATGACGAATCGATGAATAAGACAGCTCTGGCAATACTAATCTTATCTTACTAATCTTACTAATAAACAAAATATTGTAACTAGACGATGTCTGTAGGTACATACATACATACATATCTGTCACGCCTGTCTCCCATTAGAGTAGGCAGAAACAATAGAACGCCAAATGCTTCGATTCAAACAAACCTCTTTCGCTTCTTCCACATCCATCAATCTTTTCACGCACGCAGGTTACTGTAGTCTCAATGTCTGTAGCTATATGAGAAATATTTAAGAAAACAAATATATTAAGACATTTTGACTGTCTATCTGTCTGTGTATTTATTCCAGTATCACGCAAACGTTATTACATGAAATTCAATGCTGTCTTTACATTTTTATCTCTATAGAACTAACTTAAAAATTCGTGTATGTTTTATTTTGATACATCATCTAGAGATAGTTAATTTAATTTATTTTTTTACTACTGAAATCCACGCGTACGAAACAGCTGGCAAAACCTAGTGTTAGTATATAACCTTAACAATACATGGCATTCTACTGCTGCAAACTGGTCTCTAGAGAGAAAGATAATAGTCTACTATTACCTACATTGGCTAGATAGCATAGTAATAGGGTTTTATTTTTAATGACCAGAGGGAGACAATGACGTTTTTTGTGTAAAATATAAGAAGTGTACTTTAACATAAATCTGTTTTACATATGTTCCTGCTGGAAAGTATTTTAGATTGTATAGCTGTTTTGGAAAAAATGGTACTTACTGAAATTACAAGATACGGAGGCATAACACCATAGTTATTAGGAATAGTAACGCAAATAAAGTATCATGGGTATTAATTCTGCAATGTTCATGGTGTTGTTCGTTTCTATAAGTGACAGTTACTGCTTTTACATTAAATGGGTTATTAGTTTGCTAATCTAAATTGTATGAAAAAAGGTTTAATCATTTAAATATCAATATGTGTACAAAATGCCACCAACAAACGCCTATAATCAGCACAATTAATTACAGAATAAACAAGAATAATCCGAACCGTCCTCTACCTTCTTTAATTTATTCATCCGGTCATAATTTTTCATTATATTTATTTATTAACAAGCTTTTATCCACGACTTCATCTGGGTAATTTCACTGACGAATCGCTGACGTTAAAAAGTACCTTTTCCATAGCATATAGTACCTGTATACGAAATCTAATAATAATTGGTTAAATCGTTAAGACGCCAAGATAAAACAAATAAATTCGCTTTCACACGTATAATATTAGTTAAAATTTATTTGTAAGGTTCCCATCGTTCTTCACAATATTTATTAATTGTTTTATTTCTCAGGTATATAGCTGTAACACAACCAATAAAATATGCGAAACACAAGAACAACCGACGGGTTTGGTTCACCATTGTTCTCGTGTGGCTGATATCGGCCGCAATCGGCGCGCCCATTGTGCTGGGCCTGAACGACACGCCTGACCGCAACTTCGACGAATGTCTCTTCAACAGCCAGAACTATGTTATCTACTCGTCGTTGGGCTCCTTCTATATACCTTGCATCATGATGATGTTCCTCTACTATAATATTTTTAAGGTAAGATAAAAAACTGTTTGAAGTATGCGTGTAAGTGTGAGTGTGTGTATACTAATAGAAGTCACAACTGAGTATGTAATTGTTTTGCCTTAAAGTAAGCTCAAAAGAACATACTTGGGTTCCGTCTTTTCTAATCGAATTGGTACATAAATTTATGTTGAAAAAAATATTTTAGAAAGCCTATTTCTAATACAAGTAATAATAGTCTGTACTGTCTTTAAATTTGGCATTAATCGATACTAGAAGTAAAACACCTATAATATAAAATATAATTATGTAAAATTATTTGAAACATATTATATATACAAATATCTACTTATATAATAATTTAGAACACTTCAAAATTAAAGTATAAAGTCCCTTTTAAAATAAATGCCTAATTATTTTATTTATATAAAAAATACTTGTTGTTACCAAACAAATGCAAAGATGCAATTGATAAAATTAATATTTTTATTCCACGACTTTGTTCAGATAATTGGATATACTATTGCCAGGGTTACAAAAAGCCTACGTCATCCTCTATCGCAAAATACTACTCTTTTTGTATCCAGACATAATAAAGTCACATACTTTGACATTTATAATTATTAAGAAGCATGAAGATTATATTATATTACTTAAATTCTTACTTTCAAATACTTTTATTTAGCGTCTAGTTTTTGAACTATTCTGGGATATATCCTTTGCTATTATATATATATCTATTACTTCGAATGAGTGAAACATGAAAGGATTTTCTTGAATTAAGTCGAGTTCAGTATCCACCTTTGAAGCTACTCCAATAAATAGGAGAATCCCAATTTACCCGTTTTTTTCTTTAAATATATGTTACATGATATCTTTGCCACTTCTGAATTAATTTTGATAATTATTTTGGCAATTAATAGGATTTACTTCTTTGACGGCTTAATATATATATATATATATATATATATATATATATATATATATATATATATATATATATATGTGTGTGTATGTATGTTTAATTATTTAACCTTCATATACATGTGCACATACATATATCATGTATCATCAGAGGGAGACTTTGAATGACAGTTGTATTTGCATGGCGTTTGAATAGAATAAGTTTACAGGGTACAGAGGAATAACACTTGAGGGAATATCATAGGCGAAACAGTATACTTCGTTATGTTCATGGTACTGCTCATGTCTACAGGCGACGGTTACCATTTTACATCAGTTCTAACTTCCATAAAACAATTTCGAATTTGTTTTATTTATTTATTTGTTTATATACTCAACAGGCGTTAAGAAATCGAGCGAAAAAACAGCGAGCAGCTAAGAAACCTCCCATCTCAGGAGATCCTACAACGGGTGCGACCACAGCTGTGGTCATAGAAAATGTGGCACAAACGAGAAGACTGGCCGAGACTGCTCTGCATGATGACAGACCTACAAATACAGGTTCCGGGAGCAATGAGGATGACCACGAAGATAGGTAAATAATTAAGATATAGTGTTAATATGGATATATTGTTTGACGGAAATAAAAATATGCTATACCCTTCTTCATCCTAAATATAATGTGTATGGCAAATCTCAGGATGAATGGTTGAGCTTATGAAGTATTATGTTATAGACAAAGAAACAAACCAACAAACATACTCACACATATTAATTAGAAATAATAATATTTTCGAAATTTCGAAAAAATCTATTTTCTCTTACATTAATAAAAAACTATGATAAAACATTATCTATAAACAATTTTATATTTACAGCCGTCTGTGTTTTTTATGTACTCGTATCAATCGAAAATGTTTTGTGTATCCATTTAAATTTTCTCCTAAACTTTTGAGGATAGGATTTGAACACTATTATTCAAGGTACAGTGGTAAGCTCGTTTTATGGCACATTTGATTTCAGTATACTCGTGGATACATTATAGCAAATTTAATACTTACTAGATGACCAGGTGATTTCGTATCACCTACAACACCATCTATTAAAATAAAACTGAAGTAGCAAATCCTATACAAATAGAAGTATTTACCTATTTTAATTTTTCAAAAATTAAACTAAAGTTATTTAGAGTTTTTTCGACTTTTTTTCTTTTTTCACCCTTCAATTCACCCTTGTATTATAACAAATAAAACAAAACAAAAATATTCAAATTGGTAAAATAATTTTAGAGTTTTAACGAGACTAACGAACAATATTTGATTTATATATAAACATATATAGATTATATTTACCACAGTGGCAACAATCGACAAATGTCTATTGTAAGGATTTTTATAATAGGGATTTTTTAATATCGGTATCCTTATACGCTCTTGGGGCACGAGTTATAGGTGAGGATGAAACAGGCTAGTTGGCTCAACAAAAGTTGGCAACAAGAATTAACCACGACGGTTTCAAGGATGAACCACGTGGAGGTCGACCTAATGTAATGTGACTTTATTACTACATAACTACTCAATTACCACAAATCTTTATGAATTCATTAGTTATGATATCTTATGTAAAAACAACTGTTTTTCATATAAAAACTAATCTGTATTACTAAAAAGCCTATATTAATTTCTGTAAGTATGTATATGGTAATACGAAGCGTGTTTCCTATAGGACAATCTGAGCCTGTGCAGGAATCAATACTAAACTTTGTGCTTATACAAACATACTTTGATATAGTAAATACATTTTTACTTTTTTCACTAACAACCCCTTCCCATCCCCTACCTCAGGGATTATAATCATAAGCATATTTTATTATCTATCTGATAGAGACAAAAGAAAATATTATTTATCTAAAAGAAGAGAAGCAAAAGGATATCTGGAAATCCAAAACCAACAGCATTACGACTATTACTAATAAAATTGAATAACTTTCTTCGAGAAAAATTTAAACCACATTCGTTTGAAAATAAACATGAAATGTACAAAGATTGTGTGTTCAATCCCTCCAACTTTTTTTTTTCATTTCTTTACTCAGATAATATTCTTTGTTAGCAACTCTCAAGGAAAGCGAACATAACACAAAATTCATCTTTTTCTTCTTAGCCATATGTCTAATCTCATATGAGATTTAGATATTTGTGCGTCGTTCTCATTTTCCGCTCCCATAAGTTGATTCGAATTGCTGAATCGCGTACCTGTTGTAATTTAAAATTAAATAGTAACCAGTAGCAACCAGTAATTATTTTATGCAATACTGGTTGATTCCCGCGGCTTTACCTGCATACGTAAGTATATAAACTACCCTATGTCTTAAATTAAAATATAAGCTAGCTGTGTACCAAATATTATTCGAATCTATTCTGTGATTTAAGTGTGATTAGGTATGAAACATCCATTAAACATATATTATAACAAACAAACATACATTGTAATTTAAACAAATTTTCAATTTTTAATCGATTTAAAAAAGAAGGAGATTTTCAATGTGGTTGTAATTTTAAGGTCAATAATGATTTTGTCACAATTGAAGTCAGTTTTTTTTTTTACAACACAGTCTTTAATTATATAATAATAAAATAAAAAGATAAATCTAGATGGAGCGTTGACTCATAAAAATATCTCAAAAACCACAAAGCCTCAAAAACTGGTCAACTTTTTGTCAGCTAATTGTCGAATAAGCTGACTCGTTTTTTGACAGTGTGCAATATACTTAAGCAATATAATGTATTTTGACGTATCTATAGTTATTTATTTAATAAATAAAATATGATTTTATGCATTTAAAAGATGAAAAAATTATAAAGCAAAATAAATATAGAAATTATAAAGGAAACACTCATATCTATTTATCACACAAAATTGTATGAAAAATTTGACCCGCTTTTCTCGAAACATTTGTATGGTGACACTATCAGTATAATCTAAACCTACAGTATACAAATATGACAAAAATTATCAATTTTTTCATTAATAAAATTACGAAAACGAACTATTAAAAATGGATAGTTTTTTTTTGTTTTTGTCGAAGTTTATATTTTAATAGATACACAGTTTAAATGTTATAAGATTTTAAATATTAAATATTATAACACAACATTGGAGCATTATAGGAACGTTGACTTCATAATGCACATCTGAATCCCTTTTCCATATTTTCACCAAATATTCAGACGCCTCACCTAATGGAATTCCTTAATTTACCGGCAACGGTGTGAGACCGATTGTCATACGTATTGATCAATGCTATTAGAATTCTTGGGAATGCATTCTTGGGAATCCTCACTTTCCTTTTTCTATAAGATCGTAGTGAATAAGCAAATGTAGAAAAATCTATAATAAATCTTACTTATTTATATCTATAAATACAAATTAAATGCTGTTTGTTGATAAATGCATCACTTGAAGTACCTAATATCTAAAGATTGGCTTGTTTTAAATATTTCTTTAATATAATAAGAAGGAGGTTCTTAAACCGGTCGTAGTTTTTTATGTTTATTACTTCATATCTACGTCAACTCAAAATTAATTTAGATTTTTTATCTGAAATCATATACTTACCAATAGGTCCTATAGAAATTTTATGAATATCAGTTCAGTATTTTAGTTTTTAAATCGAAATAACATGTTTTGTCACAATTGAAGTCAGTCTTTTATAGGACTCAATCATTAATTATAGAGCAAATAAAAATTTGGAATTGAACAATTTTAAGTAAAATAGTACACATACTGTAACCCCTAAATGGGTAGTCAAAAATATATCTCAACATTCTTTTTGTGATAAACATGTCACTCGTTGTACCCATATTTTGGCGAGCTTTCATTTGAGAGATTATACATTTTAAGTGAGAAGCCGACGTGGCTTGTAGCAAGCCTACCGCCGACACTTGGATTTGGTTTACTATCATTTTCTTTCATCGACGTCAGTCTGAAATTTAAATAAAAATACCTTTTAGCGTGGACTAGATTTAAACTCTTTGTCTTTAAGAACTATATGTATAAAAAAAATATTATATTTATTTTACGTTTAATGGAAAATAAAAATGAAATAATATCTCCTAGCCGGATACAAAGTATTTGTAAACGTAATATACTGTTATTATTATTGCTTGTTAAGAATACCTATGTTGGAAACTTTATTATAAGAATTTTTCAAGTATAAAAAATAGTCTATATTCTTCTCCATCTCAATTACTATGGGTAACTTCACAACGATTAGTCAAATCGTTAAGATACTATAACGTAACAAACAGACTCACTTTCACGTTTATAATATTGATAAGTATATATACCATTACACGATTAACTTCACTAAGTAGACTCAGTAGCCAAGTATAATACTACTGCTATGAAGTATATTGATCTAAGATTATCTGAGATCGAGATTATGATCTCGAATATTCTTATATCGTTAGCTTCAAAGATTTCGTGACACAGATTTCATCTTACATCTCAGGAACACAGTTATTTATTCGTGCAGAACATGAAAATATTTTGGGTTCAAGAAACTACATACTTACTTATAAATTACAAAACTTAACACTGTTTATAAAATTAGTATTATGAAAATAGTTTAATATCACTAATTTTGTTATATTAATAATCTCAATTATTTGTACAGTTTCGACAACAGATCAGCAGATTTAGAAGCGGACGCTGACGAGTGCCATGTCATACCTAATGACAAGTCAACGGAATTCATGCTAGCAACAGTTGTAGAGGAAACCGCTAAGTAAGTAATTCTAAAAAATACTGTCTGTTAAACATCAATATAATAAAGATATCATCAGACCTAATGTGACCGATATAGCCCGAATGATAAGCAATCTGAAATGACATTGGTCAGCCACATAGTTCGAAAAACCGATAACCGATAAGAGAAAATTGCTAAAGTAGCAACTTCATACAGGCAAATACAATATAGGACGACTCCCACTAGAAAGTGCGACCTTATTGCGTGATGCATTGCACAGAGTCAATTGCAACAGATGACTCAGAAAAGTTCTTTATAACAGTCTGTGAGGATGCACAATATTGAGCAATAGACAATTAAAGGTTGAAATGATGATAATGAAATAAAAATATAATAAAAATAATTAAGTTATTTAACCGAAAACAAGTACATTATAATAGCTCAGATACGACGGCTATGATTGTTGGATGTCTTTGTAAGAAAAAACGATAGGTACGAATCCAATTAAAGTTTAATGCGCTCCCAGAATGAATACTAAAACACGCTTTAAGAAGCGGCAAGCTTTCTAACGAGTCCATAAAGATTCTGATTATTCAATCAATCAGACAACTTAAAGGACCAAAAGAACTCAAAAGCCATTGACTTCTCACTCAGTCAATTACGTAAAGAGATGTAAAAAATAAAACGGAAATACTCGGAACTGGGGATATTTAACTTTTCATGGCTTCTTGTATAATTTATTATATCTGAACTTCCGACAGAGTTTGATATTAGAAAATTTTTATCGTGACTGTCATCAATTCAATTATCCATGAAAAGTGAAACGTTATTTTATAAAATAATAAATAATTGTTTATTAAATATAATACTCGGTCCAAATTTTTAATATTGTCATAATACCTTTTGTTGTCTATCGTTATTGACCATTATATTATATACCTAGAGTTTATTATTGATTTGTTACATAGTTTTATAGAACATTATTTCTAATATTAGAACCTGTTCTATAAAATTACATATCAAAGACTTAAAATAATTATTTAGACGATTCTAGAATGGAATTATGTGAAATCCATATTACATCTTGATATCCAGAATAAGTGCAACATGGTTTCTATTATTATAATTTTTCACAAAGTTATCAAAAACTAGGTGCAGAAATGATTAGGGTTTAATAATAAGTAATTCTCTTACAGTACACCAAAAAAGAATTTAAAATCGCCACCTCCTGATCCCAACGGCAATAACGATTCAGGGTATGCACCGTCCAATTTAGAAGACACTATTAGAGAACACATTTCCCCTCCTGGCTCACCAAGCATGAAAGATGCTACAATACTAAAGAATATGGGATGCGATAGCTCAAAGTGGAAGAAAAATGGAAAGGCGACAAAAGTGATCACAGACTCCAGGTATATATATATGAAACCAATTCTCAATTTAGATCTTGCTACAACTATAATATCGTAACCCATTTAGAAATTTTAGAATTTGTGATTTAATTTGATACGTACAAAACTTGAATCATTACATAATTTATGTGCTTTAACTAAAGTAATTACTAATTAAAGAAGTAATAACGATAAATAGTGAACATGTATTAGTTAAAAGATCATTGCATTAAATAATTAATCAATCATTAAGCCAAATAAATAATTAATCTCTTGCGAGAGATCATCTATTAATCATTACTATTTTCTAGAAGCGTTTCATTGGCGGTTCGTTCAGAAGATGATCATGAAGCTAGTACATTCGATGTAAGAGACGGCTCTTCGGCCAAGAAAGAAAGAAAAGCAAGTGCAGCCACCGCTCGTTTTACCATTTATAAAGCTAACAAAGCTAGCAAGAAAAAAAGAGAAAAATCTTCCGCAAAGAAAGAGAGAAAGGCAACAAAAACTTTGGCTATTGTATTAGGTGAGTATTAAATTATTTATTTCTTTTATATAATTGTACTCGGTTTATTGACAGAACGAAATGAAGACCCTGTCTTAATAGGCAAGTGACAAACTGATATATCTATATCCCACGCATAAAGTATAATAAGATGGTAAAGAAATATTATTATTTCTCATGCATATAGTAAGAAAAAATTATCTAAAATTATATGTATTGTAAAAAAAACAACAATTATATGTTACGATGTGCGGTAGCTTTTTTATGATAATATATTATATACTTATATTCATACAATATTTTTACAAAGCAAAATGAACTTTCAATTTTGTTGCACGATACTTAATTCGAAAATTATCATAAGGTCATTAAAAAGGTTTTTGTTAAATATTTTGCTTATAAAACGACATATAATGATATTAAATAAAAACGATATCAAGATAGTAAATAATAACGTAAGTTCCCATATCTGAAGAAACCTCATGGGGATACCGCAGCTCTACCGTACGCATATTTTTTGCGTATTGACTTTCTATCTACATTATTATCTCGTGAGCCGCTTTTCTGCCTAAAGCGGAATATACCAGAGTATCTATTTAGCTATCTTCAAGTCTTTTAGCATACCTACCTATCTTCTATACAATCTGATTTTTCGTTAAAACTGTATTTCCTCTTTTATAATATCAGTACCTATATTTCTCTACTCAAAGGCAATATTATCTTTATGGAATAGATTATTTATAAAATTTAGGTTTTTATTTATTTAAAAGTTATACAATATTTGCAAACTTTTACATAAACCGTACCATAGCATTATAGAATAGCCTTTCTCGTGGTGTGTTCCCTTCATCTTATAACCTCGGATCCTTCAAACATAACGTGGAAAAGCACTTAGCGAACCGGCATAGTGCGGCCAACCGTTAACAGTAGAACATTCTCGTTTCGGTTGATCGCATTTATGGACCATATTGTCCCTGTGTTCACTCATATGTCCTGCAATTACAAAAAAAAATATAAAAATTTTAGACTAACAAGTACAAGAGATACTTTATGTTAAAAGCATTTTCTTATAATTTAGCACCAATTATTATCTGAATACCATAATAAATGAGATTCTATTTATTGTTTCATAGAATATAAATATGTCATCACACGACTATATGACTATATGACGCTCGTCATAAAAGGAGGATATCTATTAGTCTACTATTACTATGCTTGCCAAGTAACTTGGTATAGAGTTTTATTTCAGTTTTACTTCCATTAATGTATTTTGTTCGCCTAGTCGCTTCCAACATTTCCGAGTGATAAAAAGAAGCAGTTAACAGTAACTAATAACAATATTATTAGGGATGTGAACGTTTGGACATTTACTACCCAATTTGGCTACTAATAACTACTCATATATGTATGGCTCCCTCTATTATCAAGAGTTTTTAGATGACTTATTATAATAATATCCCGTGCAAATGTTTATTTATTATAAAAACAATATTTTACTTAGCAAGAAGGAGGACTCAACGCTCACAATCACTCAAATTGATGCCAGTAATTATCCCTGGTGTTGAATCTGGAGCAAAAGGGCTCGCCCCAAAGCCCCCACCTGAGCCCTCTTCCGGAACTAAGTAGACCTGCAATTGCAAAAATAAACATGAAAACGTATAACGTGGCTTACCAGACCACGATTTTAGAAAAACAATGTAAAATATATCTTTGTATCTTTGTAATCTCCTATGGATTAATTGTTCCTAGCCATAGTCCCCGTGTCGTAAGAGGCGACTAGGGGAATTTAATGTTCAAACGACGAACACTATCATCCCTCTTAAAACATCACCAAAGCCTAATTTTGGTTGCCAAACCATCTACCAAGCTTAGCAACTACTGGTAAACCCCCAAAGGGAGATATCTACATTCAGTAGTAGACAGTTAATGACTGATATGATGATAGACAAACCTAAAATAAAATTGTAGGTAATTGTAAATTATAGTTCGTGTGATCCCGTTCCTTCCTTTCTTGTGAGTGTTGTAAGAGACGACTAAAGAAACTTAATGTTAGAGGAATAGGCAGCAGCGTCTCTCTTAAAACATCTCTAAAAGTCTAACTATGATTTTTAACGCGTCTGCTCAGCGTGGCAACTACTCGCAGAACTCCCCTTATGGAGAAGGCTTATGTTCAGCAATGGACAATCAATGGCTAAATAATAAAGATGATGATGATTATGATAGGTAATAAAAATGTGTAATATTAGATTTTTATTTACAGGTGTCTTCTTATTTTGCTGGGCGCCGTTCTTTACGTGCAACGTTTTGGGTGCCATATGCGACAAATTCCAGTTGCCATTCTCTCCAGGAGTAACCACGTTTATCTTAACTACATGGTTAGGTTACATAAACTCCTTTCTCAACCCCGTCATATACACTATCTTCAACCCTGAATTTAGGAAGGCCTTCCGTAAAATATTGAAGTGCGGCACCTAGCCTTTAGATTATTTGGTCGTCTTCACGCAGTAGATCTCGAAGCTATTCAAATCTTGCAATCTATTTTCTTCCTAATTCTATTTATATTCTCCTACTTCTATTATTCATATCGTCACATTTAAAAATTAATGAAATTCTTGTATATCACTCACTCTACTTAATTCTCTCTCTTTCTCTCTCTCTCTTATTTTCTATTACTATATTTATATTATAAAGTCCATAAGATGTTGCATTGAACATAGCCTTGACATCATTTCAATACATATTCATACACAAACAATAACTTGAATGAAACTGCCAAATAAATATCATTTTTAACTACAAAAAGAAGGAGAAGGGAGTTCTCAAATCGGTTGTATTTTTCAATATTCATCATGTTACGTACCTTCGTCTATAACTGATCTATCTTATATATAATTGATCGATAGGTAATTCTAAATAACAACGAAACTTTAATTCTTTGCGAGATCTACCAGACGACCAAATATAAATCACTTTATCCAAAACATCATTAATGTGATAATTCAATAACGTAGTATAAGCGTCGAAAGTACTCGTATTAGTAATGTAATTATTAGCATATCATATGCAGGCATATAAAATATGTGGCAAAATGTAGTAACTAAAATCTTCAAAGTACATTATTGTTTAATTTAATAATTATTTCATCTTAGAAACTTATTAAAATAAGAATATGAGACTTATTAGTGCTTCGCGCTTCTGTAAATAAAAATGTAATCTAGTCAAGTCATTGATCAGTATTATAATATGTTTGTATTTATAATTAACTATGCCAAATTTAATAGCGATATTAAGAAGCTTTAGTTCGTTTAAGGTTGTGATTATTTTAATTAGTAGAAAAAAACATTCACCATTCACTATATTGCTGTATTATATATTATAAATATGTTATACAATATATGTTTACTTAAATAGGACGGTATGCCTCTTTGTCACTAAATGTAAAAATATTAGATAATGAAGTATTACTAAAGTAGATTATAAAATCGATATGTATTACATAACACCAAAGATAATATTGTAAGTAACATTTTTTTTTTCTAACAAGTACTATTAAGGTGTAGAAACCTACTTTCTCTTCGGATCCAAATTATATTTATTTATTTGATTATTGTAATTTACCTTTTCCACCGTCCAAGTTGTTTTAATGATATTTCTTTGGTTTTTTTTTATAAATTTTATCATATAAGTAGTAGTATAAATTTGTATGTATTGATGAGCTGTGTTTCAGCGAAATGAAAAGTGCACTGCGAGATTTGATAAGGTAGAATGTAATTACTCGCCAAATAGTCATTTGGATCATATCAACAATATAAATGTATAAAATATTTATTATTTGTAGTGTAAATTTAAATATATAAATTGATATTTCAATATTGTTTTAAAAAAAATATCAACTTATTCAATTTGCAGTAATAGGGCATTGGTACTTACCAAATTTTGCCATTTTATTTTTGCTCAATTAATTTTAGGGAAAGTATACATTTCATTTAACTTTCATTATATAGGTTATGTAGGTAAATGATAATACAAAATCTTAACAAAATTTCGTGAATTAACAAAAGAAATCTTGCTCAAAGAAAAAAAAAAATAAAACTAATTTGAAATAGAATATGTTACTACACCTTTTATTTTAGTATAATCATTAAATGTATCATTATGTCGCATGATTAATACTTTAGTTACAATTATCATAATTTAATATGAAACCTTTTCTTGAATGCTCAATGTAAACATTTGATATTACTGTAAAACAGTTGTAGTGGCCAGTATTCTATTATTTTGTATATAGTAAATGTTGTTAAAAACCAATTATTACAGGGTTTATCAATGAAAATCTTCAATTATTTTCTGTTTTTGTAATTGGAAAATGTACCAAGTGGTTATTTATTATGTTGTACAAATAGATGAAAAGTTCAGACATATAAATATATATTAAAATAGAGGGCTTAATAGGATGTTTAGTATATGCAAATATAGATATTTATGGAAGTGAAATCACTTAGTATACTCAATTATATTATCTATTATTTACATGTATCTCATTAATACGTACACTAACAATATTTCTAAAAATTGAAAGCTGACATAAATCAATTTTAAATATTACATATTATGTTATGTCACTTTAAATTATATACAAGAACCTATTTAAAAAATGCACAACTAATTTTAACTAAAAAGTCAAAACATACTACATACTAAAATAGGTTTATCGTTTGTCGTTTTATTTTTAAGTTACAGTGTCAGTTATATATTATACCTCCATTTATTGAATATTGATATATTATTAAAGTTATTTATGTAACAAAAATCACAAATATTAATAAGAAATTATTGTGTAATAATCTTAAAACACATGTAAATAATTACAGCGATTTTAACAAATATTATTAATTTAAATAAATATATAATACAAAAACTTATCATAAATAAAATTATATAATTTGGTTATGTTTAAAAATTCTACGTGTACAGTGAGGGACAAGAATTTGAATCATCGTAATTATATTAATTATGAGTATTTATTATTTCAATGGTTGTTAATTTATTTCCCAATAGGTAAGTATATCTAATAAACATAGTAAATTATTAAATAATATTTATAGCAATATAATTATAATAAATTTAATATTATATTGAAATATTTGTAACTGACTGTACTCGAATGAAACTGTATGTACGTTGCGTAGTTTGTAAACTATGTTTTCTATGTAAGGTAGTGTTTTAACTTTCTATGCGAAAATTGTGATGATTTAAAATATTCTGTTTTACAATTATTTGTTTTATTAAATATCCACAACTTTTCCTTAAGATTTTTAAAAAAACGCTAATATTAAATTTATTCTTTGAAGAAAGGAGAAGAAAGAATATAAATTAAATTAAGCTTCTAAATAGTCTAGATGATTAAAGGCAATTAATTAACGGAATTAGAAATTTTCGGTTAGTAAAATAATTTTCCAAATCGGTTTATAACTAACGGAGTTATGAGGTTACAAATATAAAAAAAATCCAACGAATAGAGAACCTATTTCTTTTTGAAGTCGACTGAAAACGGTAATCTTACCCTAGGTGAGGACCTACGAAACACGCCAGGTGAATTCACAGAACATGAGTAAACCACAAGAATAATAGTTTAATTCTACTGCATTTTTAAAGGCGTCATAATACAGATTTCATGTTAAATTCTCTGAGCGCTCCGACGCCTTTTGTATGCGACAGTCCTTCCAGACCGCAATTGCCTTTTGTACACAATTCTCTTTGTTTGAGTTATATTGTTCTTAAAGTTTAACCTTTATACGAGGAGGAAAGGCCTGTTTACGGAGCTGGCAAACCTTTGCTGCATTTTGTTGATCTACTCTGACGTCCATATATTAAAGAAAATATATATATATATAATAATAATAATAATAATAATAATTAAATTTATTTCTTTATACAAAGGTAGTTAGTTACATTATATGTTAAATAAAAATTGCTTGTGTTAGGAGAAACCGCTCCTTCACAACAATAATTAAATTTCATAATCATTACAATTTACTTTTCTTTTTTTCTTAATCAGCATTAAAAATTTTACTTTGTTTTACTTTTATACAATAATACTAAAAAATTTACATATCATAAAAAAAGAAAAAATGTCTATTTATGATAATAAATGCGGTCGTGTATGTGCTTGTTCTTGTGTGTATGTGTGTGTGGGAGCTTGAGTGTGCGTGCGTGTGTGTGCGTGCGTGCGTGTGTGCGTGCGTGCGTGCGTCGTGTGTGTGTGCGTGCTTCTCTCTGTGTGTGTATGTGTGAATTTGTGTGTATGGTATAGATATATATATATATACTATATATATATATATATATATATATATATATATATATATATATATATATATATATATATATATATATATATATATATATATATATATATATATACAAGAGTGTAGTTCCCGGTATAGAATTGGCCACCCCTTTCTTTCCCGTGGGTGTCGTAAGAGGCGATTAAGGGAACTTATGGTAGAAGAATGTGCAGTGTCGCTCTTAAAACGTCACTAAAAGCCAAACTGCTGTCGCCAATCTGCCTGCCAAGCGAGGCAACTACTAGCAAAACTCCACTTATGGGGAAAGCTATATTCAGTAATGGGCAGTTAACGGTTGATTTAAATATATATATATATATATATATATATATATATATATTGAATCAACCATGTACTTTTATGTAGAAAGGGCTGGCTAGCTAAACTGCTAGCCAGCTGCAATAGCCCATCTCAGGTTACCGTCAGCATAATTCTGCCGCTGTATTGCTGTATATTATATGCGATAATTGTTGCGTCAAAGTAATTGGTATATATAATCCCTTAAGTGGGATATCGATACCGGGGTTATGGTATGGTAGAATGCATGGTCTCGGTACTACAACAAAGAGGCGTGGAGTTTCAGCTGGCAAAAGTCCAGCAGTGTGTACAAAGTTATCATAAAAAGCATCGTATCAAATATGTAAACACACACATACATACTGCTAAATTACATTATCCAAGGGGAGAAATGTTAATAGTATTTAATAATCCAGTAAAAAAAATATTAAAAGAAGTTATTTTACAAAAAATACAATTTATCGTTTTGAAAATACATTTAAAATCAACATCGAAAACGCGCCGATTACTGATGAAATATAAAAGACACATTAGATTGAAGATTGTACTCGTATATTTACAAGTAGATTTTGCTTTGCTAAGAAAATCAACAATTTCAATCGGCACAAAAATAATAAAGGACCAATATAGTAGCAAATTTTATGGATTGTAAAAAATAATTGTCACACAATCATAAAATAAATATAAACAAACTCTTCGATCTGAAATACACTTAAAAAGAACATTATTCTTAACAATATTTACGTAACATATAACTCATTTTCCTTTGGAACTAGTTACGACAGCTAAATCAGTCTCAATATGTTTGATTCCGCTGTTGCAAGATTATCAGAAAATATCCTCAATATCTTTGATTAACGATAAATTGATTGAATGTGACCTTTCCTATTCTTTGAACGAATGTTTGTTTGTGATTATACGTAGGTATGTTATTTTGATAGATTACGAGTTACTGGTAAATCTTTAACAAAGTATCAATCATATTATACTACCGACACTAATATTATAACATACTAGTTGATTTCTCAGGCTGTGTCTGCGTAAATTATTAAAAAATAATTTACATATATTTTACCTGACATAAAATGAGCCACCCTTTCTTTTTCCTTTCCTGTTGGTATCGTAAGAGACAAGTAATGGACTTAAGGGTCGAGAGATGGGCAGCAGCGTCTCTCTCAAAACATCACCGAAACCTAATTGCGGTTGCCAACCCACCTGCTAAGCATGACAACTATTGCTAAAACCTTACGTTTTATAGAGTAATTATATAATCAAGCTACCATAAATTATTTTTAAATCCATAATCATTTATGAGTACAACTGAAACGAGTATGAAATTATATTTTTTACACAATAATATACCTAAGCGAGTAAAACTTAATATATGTAATATTATTAAGAAATTTGTCATACTGTAAATAAATGATTGATTGATTGACACTACTAGGAAATTCTCATGGCAACAGAAGTATAAGAGATTCACGCGAGTAACGCCGCGTGAAATTAATAGTGAATAATATAAATAACTTCAGCACACTGTTATTTGATAAATGGATAGTGTCTATAGATGTAGCGGTGTGTCGGTACGACACATCCTACCTTCTCTCTATCTATATCAGACACGCCTCAGTTAACATTATACAGATCCCAAAAGTGTCATGTTACCATTGCAAAACATAGGTGGCGAACCTATCGCCGTAGGCTAAATATAAACATACACAATAATATAATAACAGTTGAACGGGCACATTGAACGCAACAAAAACAAATAAACCCAAAATGTTTATAATTAATTACGTTCCTATACATACATTTTTTGTTTGTGTAATATTTTTTTATGCAACTGTAAAAAGCGAATATACAACCAATCATGAATATGGTAATCGTTGCTTTATCTATACTGGTATTATAAAGAGAAAAATATTAATGTTTGTTTGTAATGGATAAACTCGAAAACTACTGTACTGATTTTAAAAATTCTTTCACCTACAGAATGCTACATTGTCAGAAAATAGCATAGACTACATTTCAATTATTTAAAAAACAAAACTACTTTTGTATATTTTAGTGATGTTTGTCGATAAGAATTCTTACATACCATACATATCACATATACCACATAAACATTGTAGGGAGTCAGTGGATATAGGTGGCTCAGGACCATTTCTTATGGCAGCCTATGGGGGAGGCCTATGTTCAGCAGTGGACATATAATACCTGAGATGATGATACTTGTATCACACATACATGTATGCATACGCGAACATTATTGTGTAATGCATATAATAGACTGATACGTTGCCATTGTTCAGAAGCACAACGTTAACTGTACCTAACATTGGTAAATAGAATTTCCCGTAACGTGTTCCGTTTGTTCTTTAACCTCGGATCCTTAAAACATAACGTTAATGAATGTAAAATATTCTCTTTTCGGTTGATCGCATTAATGGACCATATTGTCCTTGTGATCAATCAGGATGATTTGGTCACATGTCATGCTATTATTAAAAAAAAAAAGATATTACGCCTCTATATTTTGTAATTTAATAGCCCATGCAAGTATTGCTATTCATAATTTATCACTTGGTGATAAATTATTAATAAATTGAACTGATGAACAAACGTGATAAATTATAAATAAACTAAACCAATTAATAAACTGCCAACACATAGGAATAATAATGATTAGTGTGGAAACTATTTTGTAAAATCTTGTCATTTTCCCATTCACGTTTTTAAACGTAATAAAAGTCAAGTACGTAGGAACTATTTACTTGTAATCACGTCGTGTTAAGTTCTTATCGTGAACGTGTGAATAAAGGCAATATAAAATTAACTTTTCCACTTAATGTTGACCAAAAAGGCAAAAAAAATTAAAAAAGATTTAAAAAAATAGAACAAATTTTTAAAATAACATATTTACTCAAGGCCACCGACCGCTTACCGACCGGATTACTCTTAATCTTTAAGCGATACACTGAACATAAAATCAAGTACGTTTTATTTATTAAGAGGACCATTCATGGACCATTGAGAAAAATAGCAACACAATGCCTATGCGACTGCGATAATCGGTCCATTTTATTAATATTATTGTCAATTACGCACAGAATCCGTTTTAAACTAATAAACTGTTCTATACGATTGAAACAAAAGGAATTTCTTTATTAACAATTTGTCTGTAGGTAAATTGAGAACTCTTGAGATTAAAATTGTAAATCTA